CTTCCACTGAGAATGCGTCACTCCGAAAAAGCAAACGTTTCTCCCCATCCTCCACCGATCAAGTCAAGTGCTCGTGCAAAAGGCGGCAAGTTTATATGCTTCCTTAGTAAAATTAAGTTTACACGCCTATTTTCGATTTCCCTATATATAAGGTTAATATATGCCAACTTTACACACGCCTAACTTAGGAACAAGAATGCAAATTAAGCAAATCCTCCATTTTAAACCACACTGGGTTGGCGCCAATGCAAAACGCAAATATAAAGATTGCAAATAAGTTAATTGTTTCAGATAATCAAGCAAACACACTTACTTCAGATCCCTGTTATCTGTAATCGAGCTTCAATTTGAGATAAAATCCATTTAGGCTATATATCCACTGAGACCGACGCTTCTCTCACTGGTATCAAAAGCTAACCGTTGCTCCCCTCCCCCACCGAATGCAAATATTTTATATTTCCCTCTATACAAGGTTAACATTTACAGGATTTTACACTAGGAAACAACAAATCATGCAATTAGCTGCAAGAATCACTCTCTCTCTTTCTTACACACACGCGCACACACACACACACTTAACGCGCTATCACCATCTTAAACCTCAGGGTTGGCAACAATCTGTCAAAGGCAAATTAAAAGATTGTGCCCACATAAAAAATAAATATATAAAATAAACTTATTTCAGCCTCTGATCTGCTTACTTGTAAATGAGCTTCAACTTGAGATGAAATCCATGCATATAAAACTTTCACTGAAACCGATGCTCCTTGATGCGTTGGCGTCAATCACCTGTACCAAGCTAGCTTTTGGTTCCCCTCCCCCACCGATCACGTGTGCATTTACGGTAAGACACCGTAATTTTAGAAAACAGTTCAGTACTGTAAATTTACGCTGTAAATTTACAGGGATTTTTTACAGTGTATGTGGTAAATGAACCCAAATGTAAGTTCAGCCCCTGGTTGTTGTTTTTGTCTTTGTATGGAAAAGAGCAGCAGCGATATTCTGTGTAACTTCACATTTTGCGTTCCACAAAAATTAGAGCGACATAATTTGGTTGAACTGTTTCTTTATGTTCTGCTTTAGCTCCATCTCTCCCCCGCTCCTGCACACTGCTCTCTATCTCACCCAATCTAATGAACATGGAGCTGGAGAGGCGTCTGCATGCCTACGCCTCTCAGACGCTGCGCATAATTGTTTCTTTCTGTCTCCGCTGGCATCTGAGCTCATGTGTGAGAGGTGAATGGTCTGTCATACTCCTAATGAGCTCAACCCACTAAAGTCAACTGTGCTCTGCCCGTTAGAGGAAGCCATTTGCATTAACGAACAGAGAGAAAACACACATCGCCTCACCTACCAATTACTGCTACAACAGACTATGGCGAGATCTCTTTCTGCATGTTTGCGTTTGCCCTTTGAGCGTGTTTTTATGCATACAGTGACCTTGTAATTCTGGAAGTGTACCGCGAGTTAAATGCATTCTGTGTGTGTTTGAGAGTCTGGGCTTGTAATGCATGGATATATATTCAGGTGAGCAGATATGCTTGAGCGCTGCTTGACATTGCCCTAATGATGTCGTGTCACCCGGCGTCCACTGTGGCCCCGCAGCCAATTAGCACAGACAGAGAGACTGTTTTACACACACAAGACAAATCAAATTACCCATCTGCCCTCATCCCTTGATCCTGCTCAGCCTCTGAAAAGATTGTGCCCACATAAAAAATAAATATATAAAATAAACTTATTTCAGCCTCTGATCTGCTTACTTGTAAATGAGCTTCAACTTGAGATGAAATCCATGCATATAAAACTTTCACTGAAACCGATGCTCCTTGATGCGTTGGCGTCAATCACCTGTACCAAGCTAGCTTTTGGTTCCCCTCCCCCACCGATCACGTGTGCATTTACGGTAAGACACCGTAATTTTAGAAAACAGTTCAGTACTGTAAATTTACGCTGTAAATTTACAGGGATTTTTTACAGTGTATGTGGTAAATGAACCCAAATGTAAGTTCAGCCCCTGGTTGTTGTTTTTGTCTTTGTATGGAAAAGAGCAGCAGCGATATTCTGTGTAACTTCACATTTTGCGTTCCACAAAAATTAGAGCGACATAATTTGGTTGAACTGTTTCTTTATGTTCTGCTTTAGCTCCATCTCTCCCCCGCTCCTGCACACTGCTCTCTATCTCACCCAATCTAATGAACATGGAGCTGGAGAGGCGTCTGCATGCCTACGCCTCTCAGACGCTGCGCATAATTGTTTCTTTCTGTCTCCGCTGGCATCTGAGCTCATGTGTGAGAGGTGAATGGTCTGTCATACTCCTAATGAGCTCAACCCACTAAAGTCAACTGTGCTCTGCCCGTTAGAGGAAGCCATTTGCATTAACGAACAGAGAGAAAACACACATCGCCTCACCTACCAATTACTGCTACAACAGACTATGGCGAGATCTCTTTCTGCATGTTTGCGTTTGCCCTTTGAGCGTGTTTTTATGCATACAGTGACCTTGTAATTCTGGAAGTGTACCGCGAGTTAAATGCATTCTGTGTGTGTTTGAGAGTCTGGGCTTGTAATGCATGGATATATATTCAGGTGAGCAGATATGCTTGAGCGCTGCTTGACATTGCCCTAATGATGTCGTGTCACCCGGCGTCCACTGTGGCCCCGCAGCCAATTAGCACAGACAGAGAGACTGTTTTACACACACAAGACAAATCAAATTACCCATCTGCCCTCATCCCTTGATCCTGCTCAGCCTCTGCTATTTATTCAGAGTCACTCGTTCATTTGGGCACAGAGGGTGATGCTGCAGGTGTGTGTGTGTCTGTGTGTTGTGTTCAGTAAAGCATGTGGGTCAAGAGTGTGTGCACTTAGCAATGCATGCTACCTGGTCAAGTGTGTGAACCATGCTAGAAAATGTCATTTTTCGGTTGAATAAAAAGTCATACTGCCTCTCTGCTTCAAATCACATTGAAATAATCATATACACTCTCCAAAAAAACCAACAACAACAACTTTAATTTAATTGATTTATTTTAAGTGCTTAAACTATTTCATTTTTTTTTTATCTAAAATGTATATTTTTATTTTCAATTTCTGCTTTATTTTAATTAAAAAAAACAAACAAAAAAAAAAAAAACCGTTTTAGTTAACAATAACAGCCAAACAAAAAAAAAAAAAACCGTTTTAGTTAACAATAACAGCCCTGGCCTCCATACTCTTTCCTGTGCCCATAAAAGCTCTCCAAATTTTGTCCATGTTATGCAAAAGTTCTTCTAACCTTAAAGCTAAAATAAAAAGCCATTCTGCAAAGTTTGAGAAAGTGTTAATTGCTTTAGATCTGTTTTAAGGGGCTGTGGGTGGATTAAATGTATTGAATCGCTCTGTTCACTTTTGCTCGTTTATACATTTCAATTACTTGTGCGTTAGTCCGCCGGCTGGGGTTTAGAGGTGTGTGTGTGTGTGTGTGTGTGTGTCTGGGGAGGGGGTAATTCTGTAAACTCCAGTTAGACTGAACGTAACTCTGACATGGATCTGATTAGGTCTCTGCAGTGAGCGTCAGAGCTGCTGTAATTAAGCTGTCAGTCAAACGCAGCTTACATGGGGAGAAAATAAATACCAGCAAAGAATCTTATTATTATGACTTTATAGGCCAATATGCAATTTTTATACCTTACTGTACAAATGTTTGATATAGTACTGTGTTATTTTCAGTGTGCCCTGTGAAAAACAAAACAGAAAAACCTGTAGTTTTTTTATTATGGTGTTCACTAGGGTCTGTAATAAATTCGAACTAATGTTCAAAATTATGTTTTTCTACCATTTTGTCTGCTATATGCAGTATGCACACATAATGTCATCATATTTATGTTTTATTAATGTATCTGAAAATAATAATGTGGACATTTTGTGGTGCTGTATGGTCAAATTAAAATCTGTTTTGATGGTCATGTTAATTGCTTTGACAGCAGTTTGGACAATTATGTCAAATCAGTTACTATGTACAAAGGAATAAACACGCATGGTTACTCAGAACATAAATGATTATCTATTTTTGTCAGAAAGCTTGTTTATGAAAACTTCTGTTCTGTTGAATTTGTGGAATTACAATGAATAATTCCTATTCTTGTCATCGAGTTATTCAGCTTGCTGTGGGATGTGGCCAATTCAATTTAAATTCACACTCATAAATTTTTAAGTCAGTCAGTCCTTAGGGAGTTTTCTCACTGTTATTGGTGTTGATGTTGGAGTTCAGTTTGTGTAAATTTTGTCCGTTGCTATTGTGACGTCCCAAACAAAAATGAAATGTTTCAATTAATTTGTCCTTATGTGTGTCTCTCTGTGTGTGTGTGTGTGTGTGTGTGTGTTTGATGGGAATGGAAGAAATGTGTCCGTTTTAATGAACTAGAGTGTCTTCAGAGCAAACGTGTCACGGGCGAGATGGCTGTCTAACTCGCGTTTTTCTTTGTCAGGTGGTGTTCGAAGGTATCCGTGGAAATGGCTTTGAGGGAGACATCGCTATCGATGACGTTTCCGTTACCAAGGGGAAATGCAAACAAAAGGATAGCGTGGACAAAACAGGTCTGTACCATCAGTGACACTTCTACAGCACAAAACACTTCTCAGTAATGAACTTCATTATATCCCTTCATGTAGATGACTGAGTGACTAAAAGCCACATTACCAGTTAGCGTACAGATCAATTTTTTTGTTTTGGAGTCTTAAAGCAAAGGAAAAGACAAAAGCCTGTGAGTGATGAAACAACACTGAGAACTGACCTTTAATCATCCTCATGTTGTTCCGAGACTTACTTTCTTCTGTTGAACACAAGTGGAGAACATTTTGAAAGTACTGTTTGGACTTTCAAGTTCAAAAGATGAAAAAGTACCATAAATGTATGATATAAGTAATCGATACAATGCAAAGATTGAAGTCATACAAATCTTGACATGCACTCTAGCCCTTCTTAGTAAACGTCCATGAGAAAAGCGATGTCAGGTTTGTCAACAAACTGTTCCTTTGAGTTGGTTCTTTTCAGTGATTTGGTTGATTCAGTTCACAAAACGGACGATGGACGATGCATTCATGCCTCAGCAGCAGTTAACCTTGTAAAGCCTAACATATGAAATAATAGTCAGAATAAATTTTTTTTTTCAGTGTAGCAGTTTATTGAACCTTTAGTCAACATTTGAAAACTCAGACATGATTCAGAAGCACAAACTAAGCTGAAATTGCTGATATTTATTGGCTATAAGTAAACTGAAATTCTTATAGTTTGTAATGTAAATCTATGAGATCATTATAACAGTATAGCAGACTACTTACATAAAATGCATAAAAAAACATAAGTTGTCACTCTGTTTCTCACAATAATATGTCTTAGTAAAATAATATTTAAAATATTTAGTTTGATGATTAAAGCTCTGTAGTTTTTATTGTGGAGGAAAAACAATGCAATGCAATACAATAATTTGGAGATGAACAAATAAGCATTCCTCAAAATTATGATGTTTTATATCTGATGCTCAGATTTTAACATATGTATGGATAATCAAGTAAAGCTAAGTTCCTTCAGTCCAGTAAATGTTTATCTTGAAATATTGCTAAAATATATAAAAGTTATTACGTTTACTTTATAAAGATTTCACAGCAAAAAGACACGTAAACCACGACCTTAAAATTATGCTTCAAGGTTTTTACTTGCTAAAAAATATGAACTATTAATCAGACAGCAGAAAGCATGTGGAAGATTATATACAGCAACACAAGAGTTTTCAGCAAAGTTTTGATCGCAATTCATAGATTTTTAGACATTTGCACATCAAATATGCTACAGCAGGTTACATGGAGTTAAAAGTTAACTGAACGTGAAAATAATGACAAAAATAATGACATTTAAACCTGCCTCTCACACAAAGCTATCACATGACTTCAAAATACTAGGAAACTCTTTCTATGATTTACGGTGCTTTTTTGTTCTTCTTTGAGCTTTTAATAATACAGACAGAATATCAAACAGTTTGTAAGGACACGAGGATGAGTAAATGATGACAGAATTTGAATGATCACAACAGGAAGGTTTTAGAGATGAACTGTCAGCAGGTAAGATGTGCCAGGACAGTGTTACTGATGGTGGAGGCAGCTGCAGGGGCCCGGGGCCGGAGCCGGAGCCTAGCTCTGACAGCTCTAGCTTCTTCTCACCTCGTGCAGCCCTCTGATGGTGCGGCAGGCCTCGGGTCTCCTCCTGAAGGCTGATCTTGGCACATGATGGGTGTGAATGCATGCACACAGACAGGAAAAGGCCCAGCGCCAGACGCTCTGAGAGAGAGAGAGAGAGAGAGACAGAGAGAGAGAGAGAGAGAGAGAGAGAGAGAGAGAGAGACAGGGCAGCTGTCCAGAACACCATCCCCCTCAAAACCCACCAGATGAATTGATAAATGATCATTCTCATTACTGTAATGCAGGACAATATAGAGAGAGAGAGAGAGAGAGAGAGAGAGAGAGAGACAGGGCAGCTGTCCAGAACACCATCCCCCTCAAAACCCACCAGATGAATTGATAAATGATCATTCTCATTACTGTAATGCAGGACAATATACTGTTTAATTTATGCTTTAGAAATGCCTAATATAATTAATTAAATTAATCACACTATCGATAATTGCCTCTAAATGGACATACAGTACACTACTGATTCAAAATTAATGTTTTTGAAAGAAGTCGCTCAATTTCACCAAAGCTGCATTTATTTATTTTATGTAACAGGAGTAATGTGAAATATTATTTCAATTCAAAATTTCTATTTTGTATTTGAATATATTTATATATAATTTTCTGCATCATTACTCCATCATTACTTAGTGTCACATGCTCCTTCAGAAATCATTCTAATATGCTGATTTGCTGCTCAAGAATCATTTCTTATTATTATCAATGTTGAAAATGGTAGTGCTGTTTAAAATCTTTGTGGAATTCTTTGATGCATAGAAAGCTCAAAAGTATTAAAAAGTTCAGACGTATTCATTTCTTTTGCTTTTGTCAAATATGACCTGGACATAAATTCATGATATTCACCCAAAAACAAACCTTTTTTTTGAGGCCTAATGTTGACTGTCTGTCTGTCTGACATAAAGATAGAAATAAACACTTCTTGTGTCCGCCAGATTAAAGATTTTGTGGAAACAGTTAAAGCAAAAATTGTCAACCACAGATTTCTTTATCATGAACGCTCCTACACTGTAAAAAAAAATCCGTAAAACTTACGGTAAAAAAACAGCAGCTGTGGTTGCCGGAATTTTACCGTAAAAATATGGTAGCAACATTTTAGGTTTTACGGTTTTAACTTAAATTTACAGTTAAATACCGTAATTTCCTTAACTGATATAATGTTAATATACCAACCTATTGAAGTACTGAAATCTGTTTTGTACCTTTGTAATACACTGATAACCACCAAAAGCAGGTGGTGATGAGAAAGTCACATGATGAACCAAAGCCCATCACAAGCAGCTTTTAAATAATAACATATATAGAAGGTGCACAGTGTTATTCACACAAACACTAAACACCATCATGGTAATATAATAAAAAACTGAAATAATGCAATAAACATTAATTTAACAACATTAGGTGTAGCATTACAACCCTAATATACAAAACTGATGAGAAAAAACTAAGAAGAATCATATTTTTTTCAACAAAAAAACATCAAATTTGAAATGTAACGCAGGGAATTCTGGGAATGTCAATTTACAGTTATTCACTGTAAATTATACGGTCTTTTTCACTTCCAAAAACGGTATACTACCATAAAATACAGTTACAGTACAGTCCAATACAGTTTTTCACCGTATATAGTAGGGGAATTTACCGTTAACCATTTAACAGGTTTTTACTGTAGCATTTTTACAGTCTTTTACCATTAAA